ATGGGGGATTGGGTTTATTTGTAAATAGCTGGCTTTAAGTATAATTATGAAATTTCAGTATTTATTTGTAGTGAACTTAAATTCATATGTTTATATAAGATCTAGGGAACATGTATCCATAGAACACTGTAACCACATTTTACCAGGTTAAGTTCTTACCTATATAGCTACTTATATGCCATCATGACTCAATGCACGTTACTGTTCCAGGAAACATCTGCTTGGAATCAGGAAGTTTAGTAATTACTTCCTTTCTTTCTGACCTCTGTATGTGTATGTTTGAGAAAGGGACACAGGGTAGAAAAGATATGGAACGTTGTATAGAATGTGTAATTCTCCAAGATAAAGTATTAAACAGCTGAGTTTATTTTTGATGATCTTGTAAGTCAAGAGAACTCTGTAATTTTATACATGCAAAATTTAATTTTTAGTATCACTCTATATAAACCAAATAATGTAAGATTGTAGAACATAATTTTTACTATGTTGTTCCAAGGCAATATTAACAAAAATCTTTCTGTAAAACTAAATGTTTCCTTGCATATTTTCTCAATTTTAGAAATAAAGGCTAGTTTTGATATCAATACATCAGGGATAACTTTTCTTCCTTATTCCACTTAAGCCTAATTGCTAACCTGTCAGTTCTTATCTGATGATATATCAAATCCCTGTATCCCCATAATACTTTAAATTGCAGAATTAGAGATCAAAAGACAACATTATTGGTGATTTCTTTTGTACTTCAAAGAATAAAAAAAAAGAATACAACTGGCTTCATACCTAGTGCAGGAATAGAACTCAGTCTCCTGGTTTCTATACCAGGACCACACCAAAGTGGCTCTCATCTACCACCAGTGGCACTGATAAATAATGGACTGGAAATTCGGTTTATATTGCTGCATGCTATAAAAGGACCATTAGCAGGCATCTAGGATTTCTAGTCTACTTTTATTTATTTATTTTTGTCAAGCATGTATGAGAAAATAAGTATAAGTATAAATGTAACATATAAACATATAAGTATAAACAGGTATAAGTATAAACATAAGAAATTAGTACGAATAAATGGGAACAGTAGGCCAGGGATGGTAGGCATGCTGGTGCGCTTATGCACACCCCCTTACAGACCTCTTAGGAATGGGGTGAGGTCCATGGTAGACAGTTTAAGGTTAAAGTTATGGGGGTTTGAGGATATAACAAAAGAGTCAGGTAATGCATTCCAGGCGTTGAGAACTCTGTTGCTGAAGTCGTATTTTCTGAAATCGAGTTTGGAGTGGTTTATTATGAGTTTGTATAACTGGTAGGACGTTGTAGCAGACAATTTTGTGTACTAAGATTAGGTCAGACCGTAGACGGCGGTGTTCTAGATTGTCCAGGCCCAAAATTTCAAGCCTGGTGACATAAGGTATTCTATTGAGAGAAGAGGAATGGAGTACTCTTCTCGTGAAATGCCTCTGGACTCGTTCAATTGTATTAATGTCTGATATACCTGGGAATTTCAGGCTTTCTAAACAGTATGTAAAAAAAAAACTTAAAATATTAATAGAAATAGTGGAATGAAAAATGGACTATTGCAATTTATTTTCACTTGAGATATTAAGCAATATTTTTTATAGAAATGTTCTTTATATATTGCATAACAATCAACTGTAATTACACGGTTGTATACCTAAATGATTTGGGCCTGTAGAAATTGCCTTCATAATTGTATATGTGGGACATTTGCTTCTCTCAAATTGAAGGTTAGTCACTCAGAGGTTTAGCAAAGGGATGAGAGCACGTTGGGACTTCAGAGAATACTATAGGTAATGAGGGCAGCTGTGTTAGAGGAAGGGAAGAGCTAATCAATTTCATTCAATTCACCAGTTACTGGAACTATTTTCAGCTTGTTAAACTTCATAATACAGAATGATTGCTAAATGAGCTTTAGCTCTGTGTCTTTTGGTGTGCTGCAAATGCAGCTGAAATTACTGAATCAGGTGTCCTGCAGAGTAACAACCTCCAAAATAAATAAATTCTGTAAGATTCATAATAAAGTAGATACATTGCTACAGATTATATTAGTGTTCGGATTTGTATCATCCTAGTTCCACAGACCTCTGTGACTTAATTTCTTGGCCTATTTTCTGTAGAAAGAGGAAAAAGGAGGATTAGATAATTTTAAAAACTTGTGGGTTTTGTACAGATTTTGTTGGAGTTATAAGGGAAGGAAGGAAGGATAATGTAATTAGAGATTACATTAGATTGAAAAAAAATTCTTTGCTACTCTTTCGCACATAAAACCAGATCTGGATATACGAAGGAAAATGGTGTGCATAAAATCCTTCTGTCAAACAATGTTTTGAAAGTTTTTCTACTAGTGTAGGTAGATAAAAATCTAGAGTATTATGTCCATGAAAAATAAATGGACAAATAAATCCTGAAGGCTGCATTTTGGAGAAGCACACAAACATTCCTAAAACAACAACAACAACAACAACAACCAAAAACCTGAATCAGATATAACATCTGTATAGTCAATCATTTTGTCTCGTGGAGATTATTTAGATACTATTGGTAAACTCACAGTAAGGTATGTGAAAATGGAATCTTCCTTGTATCTTTGATCAAATAACATTGAGAATCACATGCCTTCAGATTCTGGAACCAACTTAAACTCTGTGACTTTGATAGCTTCATCTATCAATTTTAAATCCTTGTGGTTTGTGCCATTGCTTCAGCTAACACTGCATTCCTACTGCCAGGAGTTCGATCCTGACCGACTCAATATTGATTCAGCCTTCCATCCTTCTGAGGTTGGTAAAATGAGGATTCAGATTGTTGAGGGCAATATGCTGATTCTGTAAACATAGCTTTACAACTCTCTGTAAAGAGGACTATAAAGCACTATGAAGCGGTACATAAGCCTATTGCTAACTTTTCACAAGGCATTAAGAAATGAAGGGAAATTAAGGGCCGTAGCTTTTGAAAACTACAAGGGATATTTTTTAGAATTTTATATTCTAAAGGGTATTTAGAGTTGTATCTGTGAATAGCTTAGTTCACATGTACTGGTACTACCATTTGTTTAGTGACCATTCAAAGTTACAACTGCACAGAAAAAAGTGACTTTTGACCATTTATCACAATTACGACCATTGCAGCATCTTCATGATCATGTTATCAAAATTTGGAAGCTTGGCATCTGGCATGTATTCATGATGGTTGCTATGTCCCTGAGTCATGTGATCATCTTTTGCGACCTTCTGACAAGCAGTGTCAGTGAGAAACCAGATTCACTTAACAACCATGTCACCAACTAAATAAGTGAAGCGATTCATTTAACAATTGTAACAAAGGTTGTAAAATGTGGCAAATTTCACTTAACTGTCTTGCTTAGCAACAGAAATTTTGGGCTCAACTGCGGTCATAAATTGAGGACTACCTGTATATTGTTCATATCGTCATGGTAGGCTAGGGATCTTGGAAGAAGGGGAGTAAATTTATATTTTTAGACCAAGTTTATAGTTGTTTATTATTGATACAATTCATCTACCCAATCTATTCATCATAGTTTGTTGTTGTGGGGAAAATAGGTGTTGGATATGTTTTCTGCTTTGAGTTATTTGTAAATACTGGTACTCTGTGGCTGCTTTTAGGAATATTATAGTCTATTCTTTAAAAGAAGGTATAAGCTTACTTATGTAAAATAATTCCACATTTCCAATATCTGTCATGGATCAGACATCATAGTTATTCCTGCTTTAGAACATTAGGAACTAGTGGGTTCCATAGGACAGAAAAAAATGTTGATTTTCCTCTTCCTTTGTATATTAGATTTTTTTTTTTTTTGCATACCACATTACTTTTCATACTCTTATCATGAAGCACTTATTTTGAGAAGTATAACTCCAAATATTTCTTAGTGCATGCAATTAGGTGTGGTATCCTTTGGATTCAGGTAGGATAAATTATTCTTGGCCTAGGTTTGTTATGTGTTCATTAGAAGTCAGATTTGTCTTGCTTGGGTAAGCAACAGACCGCAGCAGAAGACTTCAGTGGCTGGGCACAAAAACTCTGTTAAGCAGATTTATTGTAAAAAAATAAATAAATAAAAGAAAAACCTAAAGAGGTCATTAAGAAAAAAAAAGAATTCCAACAACCACTCTGCATCAGAATGGAAGTCTATTTATAGTGAAATAAGTTCAAATCTTTTTCCTACCTACACAGTCTAACAGAATAATAGCTACTTTCTTGTAAGTGGAAGAGAGAGTTTCTATCTGTACCTTGTTTTGCTAAAAAGTCCATCTGATATCAAGACTGTTTCCTGGTGTCTATGTATGAACATCATCCACATCAATATACCTAACTCAATCTTCAGATGTTCATCTGACCTGCCCTATGTTGTGGTAACCAAGAGGAGGTGAAAAATGCTGGAAAGATTAGTCAACATGCTGGTAAACAATCTGAGTAGAAAAGGATGGGAGATATGCACCAGTCTTGCCCTATTTGTTCTGTAAGATTGCGCACCAAAATGTGTTTCAACTGAAACGCAAAACAACAAAAATGCTTCAGATCTCAGTGTAGCTGAACTGAGAACTTCTCGGTTTATCTATTAGTAAACAAAACACATCTACTATTTTAAGTTCAGCCCCAGTGGTCTGCAATTTTGTGAGATTAGGAAAGGGGCTGATATATGCAATCTCAATTTCCTCCTTTCATCATGTGATCACCCCTACCTAAACAACTCTTTTGTCAATTTATGTTTGCAGTTCATTCAGCCAAATATATATCTCCTTGTTAATTAGTACCTTTAAGTGTTTCAAATTTCATGGTGAGGTGTTCTTATTTCTTTCTGGGTTGCACAAATAAAAAAGCATATTAACTGTTTCTTCTAATTAAGTTGAAGATAAACACTTGCATGTATAATTAATGGTATGCATAATGAGTTTAAAACAATTTTGTATTTTAAATGGGAGAAAGCAATAACATTTTAAACTATTCTCTCTTTCTTTTTGCAGCCTATAGCATTGTCTTCCATTAGGTGAGTACATTGTTCAATTTAACAATTACAAATTAATCACCTGTACTTTCAAATGTGTTTTTCATTTTTAAAGACATCTCATATTGCTATGTAAAGTTAACAGCTTGGAGCTATATTTATATACAGCAGTTTGGCTATATTTAAATTTTGTAGATCAGCACAAGTGGAGATAGTATTCATTAAGCTAGATTCTGCAGTATTGAGTTTTCTTGAGATGTGAATTCTGAGGATAAACACACATATGCATGCACACCCCCAAGCATGCAACAGGATATACTGAAAAATAAAAGTGTTATATATCTCAGCTGAGGGATCTGAAGCCCATTACTCTCTCTCTCTCTCTCTCTCTCTCTCTTTCTCTCTCCCTCCCTCCCTCTCTCTCTCTCTGTATAAAAATATGATATGACACAGATGAAGTATCATCACTATGTTGATGACGCCAGGTGTATATCTCCATCTTGGAGAAAGTAAGTGATATTGTGGATATCCCTTCACAATAGCTGGAACAACAGGCTTCAGCTGAACTCTGGACAGAGTGGCTGTGGGTAGAAATCTTCTCTGTATCCAGGAGCTTACCATCTTTACCATCTCTACCATCACTACTGCCCTTTGGACCATCTTACCCCTAAGGGGGAGGCAGATCTAATCTGTTATGTGATGCTTAGTTGTACATCCCTGTCCCAGACTGTCCAAGTAATGCTTTCATGGTGCCTGAAGTCAGTAAAGTATTTTGGGGAAGAATCAGCTTTTGTTCAAATAAGTGGCTATGGATTTTAGAGACTATCTAGTGATTTGCCATCTTTAACTCTGGCTGGGATGCACACACACCCAGTCAGAATTAATCTATCAGTTCTGGACTCAAGGCTCCTGTTTCATGAGCAAGTGGTAGACATAGTCATGAAATTTGCACAAATACATTTTGGCAACCAGTTCCTCTGTTTCCTAGATCAGGATGTACTGTTTGTGCTCACTCATGCCTTAGTCACTTCCCAACTGGACTATTGCAACAGGCTCTACATAGATCTTTCTTTGAAAAATGTACACCAATATAGGACAACCACTGGAAAATCAGTGGGCTTTTGAATGCAATTCTAGGAGCTGATTATCACCTTTGAAGTCCTTCTTGTAAGGCTAAATTGCTTATGGGACTAGTTATTCCAATAGTTTCTTTCTAACCCAATAGATCTGGCACAGTGGGCATGCTGTGGCTCTTGCCTAACTTTGAAGTGTAGCCTATCTTATGCTTCTGTGCTTGGTTTATGCATTTCTAAAGGCCCTGAAGACATGGCTCTTCATCCTTCCTTTGGAATTATATATGACCCCAACCCAGCTGGTCTTTAGGAAAGCAATTAAGACCACCACCACCACCCCTCAATGTGGGCACTGGAAACAAGATATTGATGGAGCTGGCATCATTAATATTATGGCTGGTAGCATAGTCAGCCAGATGTTTAAACTGGATTTGGCATTTTTATCCATGTATTGAAACCTTTCCAAGGAACTGGATATGCAGATGTTGGTGTTAAAGGTATTGTCACAGAATGTAAACTTCTCCAAATAAAACTGCCTTTTGCAATTGACTGATAATTATTTGTCACTGATGGTATTATCAGAGAAGGCCTACTTTTGTAGTTCCAATAAATGGCATTGTGTAATTGAAGAAATATGGAACTCTGCCAATAGTGTGGTGACATTTATTGGAGCTTCAGTGTGTATTTTTTGTTTTGGTGATAAATTTGATAATTGTATTTTGTTTGTTTTTTTCTTATTTGCAACTCAGAATTTCCTTTAGTAGGTGGGTTGAGAATACTCATTCTGACTCTAACATAAGCTTTAATGCATTCCAGATGTTTGGGACTACAATCCCAGAACTCCTGAATCATTCGATAAGCTTTCTGTTTGGATTTCTGATAATTGTAGTTAAGTTTCCAGGATTTTAAGGAAACTGTTTGAAAGCCTAAAGCATAGAAAATTCAAGTGATGAACTGGACTTCAGAATCTTGCCTGAGGTTTTAAGAAGGAGAGTTAATACTCTTATTCTGAAGAATAAAATTATTAAAACCTCTTATTAAGCCTTGTTCATTCTCCCTTTGAAAAGACAAATAAATAATTGAGGAACCTTTCTGTGCTTAGAGATACATAAGAAAGCTGAATGATATATTCCATTCAGAGCAGCATGTTCCATGCAGAGTACATGCTGCTGTTTGCATCAAAATATTTGTTTTAGTAAACTACTATGTTACAGTAGTTTAAAATTTGACCATGCTGTTAAGCTAGTCAAGTACGAAGTGATTGTTGGGAAAAAGTGATGTACACATTTCAGGGTTAAAATAAAAGTGACAAGAACTGTTGCAAAGCAGCTAGCCGTGTTTGAAAAACATCGAAGATCTGAATTTTTGTCCTTGTAATTCAAATAGTATATTGTATTTCTAGAGCACTCATTCTCTCCTGCCTTTCTTGACTCAAGACATTTCTTAATACTTTTTTTTTAAAGAGTAAGAATTGCATAGAATCTGCAGCTGCGTGGAAGAGACTGTGAGCTGCAAAGCTAGTAATTTTTAAATCACTGATCATAATGAAGGCTTCCTATTCCTGTAAGGCGAGGAAATATTTTACACTAAAAAAGAACAGCCCTTTCCTTTCCTCTTAAGCTGTTTGATTGTTTATCACATGACAAAGCAACTATTACAGGGTGCAGAAATCAAGATTTCCATTTATAAGAACGGAATTGGGTGGAAATCAGAAATCAAGATTTCAATTTATAAGAATGGAATTGGGTGGGAAAGGGATGAAAAAAGGAGGTGGGGAAACTACTACTCTGCCTTTTAAAAAGAACTCTATTGCATATTGGCCAGAATTTCCTGAAAAACAGTTTGCTGATAAGGAGTTACTTCCAGCTTAGAAGCAAAATGGACTTCAGGCTGTTATTCATAAGAATTTTCATTAATGAAAAGGAGGTAAATATAGTAGTTTGATTTAATTTTATATGATAAAATAGTATGTAATAGTTTCTAAGTTTAAAGTTAACAGAACACAAGAAAAGTATCCAAGAAGCAAATAATTTAATAGATTATTCTGCATATTTATATATTAACTCATACTTAATATTTCAAGGTTTATGCCTGTTCTTATACTATGATACATGGTGTAATTGTTCACATTTTTTTTTATGTATGCCTTTAGCATAAGGAATATTAAAGTTAGATGTAGTTTATTCTTAAATGTATAAATGAGTTTTTCTTAGGTTGCAATCTCGGATTGAAGATCGTTTGAGACATGGTTACAGTTTTGAAAAGACTTAAAATGTGAGTTTTTTAATATGTTATCCTATATGTTATAGGGTATCCTGTGTAATCTATGGTTCCTTAAATCTGGTTGAAAATTCAAAAGTCAATAGAAAGATACTACCTATGGTAAACTATGTTTTAGCACTTAGTTTGTTATTTAATATCTATTCGTGAATATTGGCTCTGATTCAAAATATAGTGCACCTGATGTTATGTTTGGTGACAATTCAAGGGTGCTAAACAGATTATTAGCACATGTAGATACCTTCACCTAATAGGTGCTGTAAGAATTGGGAACACTAATAAATTTTGAACAAGGAAAATTATAAATAAAGCTCACCTATTTTTTCCTAGTATCCATTACTCTATTTATTAATTGATCTGAGCTGGGAAAGTAATGTTTAACATAGAGTTCAGTGGTGGGTTTCAAAATTTTTTACTACCGGTTCTGTGGGCATGGCTTGCTGGGCGTGGCATGGCTTGGTGGGCGTGGCAGGGGAAGGATATTGTAAAATCTCCATTCCCACCCCACTCCAGGGGAAGGTTACTGCAAAATCCCCATTTCCTCTGGATCAGCTGGGACTTGGGAGGCAGAGAATAGATGGGGGCGGGGCCAGTCAGAGGTGGTATTTACCAGTTCTCCGAACTACTCAAAATTTCCGCTACCGGTTCTCCAAAACTGGTCAGAACCTGCTGAAACCCATCTCTGATAGAGTTGGACAATCAAGTGGCCCATACCTGCATGTGGTTTCCAGTTTCCAGGAATAATAATTGCTGCTGAAATTTGGAAACAAATGGCCAGAATTTGGTAATGTACCTTTAGGATCATCTGCTAAAATCTGCAATGCTTAAAACAGAATAGGAGTGAAGATTATATGTTTTTGTGCTGTTCAGCCAGTATTACAACTGTATTGTCCCTGGGGGTATCAACTGCCACCGCGGCTATAACGTTGAGCAGCTCGGGCAGGGCTACTGCCACGTGGCAGGGAGCCAGGTACGTGATCAGCACGCCCATCTGTACCCCATGACCCCACTTCACAAGGAGGGACTCACATCCAGCAGTCTGAGGCACAGTGACCTCCCTCGGCCCAAGACCTTCTTTAATGACAACTGCCACCCCCCCGCCCCTCCCATGTGACCTTGGCTGATGAAATGCACGAAAAACGGGTGGGCACATTTCAACGAGGGGGACCCCACCTCCTGGCCCAACCAGGTCTCCGTAATACCCGCCAGGTCCGCTCCCCCCTCCTGAACAAGATTGCAAATGAGGGGGGCTTTATTTACCACGGACCTGGCGTTGCATAACATCAGCTGAAGGCCCAGGCCCTGAGGATCTGTGCTCCTTTTATTTATTTATTTATTTTTATTTTATTCATTTATTTATCCCAAAACTGATGCATAACAGTGGAATGGTTTAAAAGATGCTAAAAGCACAGCAGTTGTTGCTGTAAAAGTACAGGAAAGAACTGTAATGCAGGGGGGGAAATGACAACACCAAAGCAAGCCAATATATTAACAGATAAAGTTTAGTAAATAATCAAAAAGGAGAAATATACTGTGGAAGAGAGAGGATAGCAAGAAATTATAATCTCAATTATGGTTGTAAGTCAAGAACTACCTGTAATGTGTTGGATAATTGCTTTTATTTTTTAAATTTATATTTTTCTATATTTCTCTTTTTCACACTGCAATTTGTTTAAAAGAAAGTTTGCA